AGCTGCATTTATGACCTCTGGACTTCTGTTGCTTACACTTCTTGATATAAATCCCAGTAATCTATTTGCCTTATTACGTACGCTTAGGCATTGCTGTCTTGGTTTAAGGTTGCTGCTCACCATAACCCCCAAGTCCTTTTTGCAATCTGTATGGCTAAGTTCTACATCATTTAAACTTATAAGTACTAGGGTTATGGGCACTCCCAAGCTTCAGAACCTTGCATTTATCTACACTGACCTGCATCTGCCACTTTTCTGACCAAGAATAGAGTTTGTTTAAATCCTCCTGAAGTTCAATAACATCTACGTTTGAATCAATTATCCTACCTATCTTTGTGTCATCGGCGAATTTGCTCATATCACTAGTAATTCCTTCATCAAGATCATTGATATATATTATAAACAACAACGGGCCGAAGACTGATCCCTGTGGAACGCCACTTGTTACAGATCCCCACTCGGATTTAACCCCATTTATGGACACTCTCTGCTTCCTGTCAGTGAGCCATGACTCGATCCACGAGAGCACTTTTCCCCCAATGCCATGAGCTGCCACTTTCTTTAACAGTCTTTTGGTGCGGAACTCTATCAAAAGCCTTACTAAAATCTAAGTAAATAATATCAAATTCTTTATCGTGGTCAACAGCCTCAAAAGCTTTACTGAAGAAAGTTAATAAATTAGTTAGACAAGACCGGCCTCTTGTGAATCCATGCTGAGTATCATTAATCAAGCTATGCTTATCGAGATGGCTTCTTATAATCTCAGCTATAATTGACTCTAGTAATTTGCCTACAATTGAGGTCAGGCTTATGGGCGGTAATTTGACGGTAACGACTTGTCCCGTTTTAAAAATAGGAATTACATTAGCCATCTTCCACATATCAGACACTACACCTGTTTGAAGAGATAAATTAAAAATATTAGTTAATGGTTCACAGAGTTCCATTTTGCATTCCTTAAGAACCCTTGAAAAAACCTCATCAGGACCCGGCGACTTATTTTGCTTCAGTCTGTCTATCTGCTTCACAACCATTTCACTAGTGACTGTGATGTTACATAATTTATCTTCTTCTAGCCCACTATAAAAATTAATTACTGGAATATTGTTAGTGTCTTCCTGTGTAAAAACAGAGAAAATAATTATTAAAAATCAAGCACATTTCATTCTCTTTGTCAGTAAGATGTCCCATAGTTATTTTTAAGGGGACCTATCTTATCTCTAACTTTTGTTCTATAGACCTGGAAAAAACTTTTTGGGTTAGTTTTAGAATCCCTAGCAACTTAAATTTCATAGTCCCTTTTAGCTTTTCTTATCCCCTTTTTAATGTCCCTCTTAATGTCAATATACTGATTCATAAGATGACCCTCACCTCTTTTGATAAGCCTATAAATTCCTTTCTTATGCCCTAGTAGATATTTGAGCCTATTATTCATCCATTTTGGGTCATTTCTATTTGATCTAATTTCTTTATATGGGATAAACGTTCTTTGAGCAGCATGTATAGTGTTCAGCACAGAACTAGCACACACAATACTCTCAGCACAGAACTAGCACACACAATACTCTCAGCACAGAACTAGCACACACAATACTCTCAGCACAGAACTAGCACACACAATACTCTCAGCACAGAACTAGCACAACACAATACTCTCAGCACAGAACTAGCACACACAATACTCTCAGCACAGAACTAGCACACACAATACTCTCAGCACAGAACTAGTACACACAATTACTCTCAGCACAGAACTAGCACACACAATACTTCAGCACAGAACTAGCACACACAATACTCTCAGCACAGAATAGCACACACAATACTCTCAGCACAGAACTAGCACACACAATACTCTCAGCACAGAACTAGCACACACAATACTCTCAGCACAGAACTAGCACACAATACTCTCAGCACAGAACTAGCACACACAATACTCTCAGCACAGAACTAGCACAACACAATACTCTCAGCACAGAACTAGCACAACACAATACTCTCAGCACAGAACTAGCACAACACAATACTCTCAGCAAGAACTAGCACACACAATACTCTCAGCACAGAACTAGCACACACAATACTCTCAGCACAGAACTAGCACAACACAATACTCTCAGCACAGAACTAGCACAACACAATACTCTCAGCACAGAACTAGCACAACACATACTCTCAGCACAGAACTAGCACACACAATACTCTCAGCAAAAGAACTAGCACACACAATACTTCAGCACAGAACTAGCACACACAATACTCTCAGCACAGAACTAGCACAACACAATACTCTCCCGCACAGAACTAAACACAACACAATACTCTCAGCACAGAACTAGCACACCACAATACTCTCAGCACAGAACTAGCACCCCACAATACTCTCAGCACAGAACTAGCACACACAATACTCTCAGCACAGAACTAGCACAACACAATACTCTCAGCACAGAACTAGCACAACACAATACTCTCAGCACAGAACTAGCACACACAATACTCTCAGCACAGAACAGCACACACAACACAATACTCTCAGCACAGAACTAGCACAACACAATACTCTCAGCACAGAACTAGCACAAAAACAATACTCTCAGCACAGAACTAGCACAACACAATACTCTCTCAGCACAGAACTAGCACAACACAATACTCTCAGCACAGAACTAGCACAACACAATACTCTCAGCACAGAACTAGCACAACACAATACTCTCAGCACAGAACTAGCACAACAAATACTCTCAGCACAGAACTAGCACACACAACACAATACTCTCAGCACAGAACTAGCACAACACAATACTCTCAGCACAGAACTAGCACAAACACAATACTCTCAGCACAGAACTAGCACACACAAACACAATACTCTCAGCACAGAACTAGCACAACACAATACTCTCAGCACAGAACTAGCACAACACAATATCTCAGCACAGAACTAGCACACACAATACTCTCAGCACAGAACTAGCACAACCCCAATACTCTCAGCACAGAACTAGCACAACACAATACTCTCAGCACAGAACTAGCACAACACAATACTCTCAGCACAGAACTAGCACACACAATACTCTCAGCACAGAACTAGCACAACACAATACTCTCAGCACAGAACTAGCACAACACAATACTCTCAGCACAGAACTAGCACAACACAATACTCTCAGCACAGAACTAGCACAACACAATACTCTCAGCACAGAACTAGCACACACAATACTCTCAGCACAGAACTAGCACACACAATACTCTCAGCACAGAACTAGCACAACACAATACTCTCAGCACAGAACTAGCACAACACAATACTCTCAGCACAGAACTAGCACACACAATACTCTCAGCACAGAACTAGCACACACAACACAATACTCTCAGCACAGAACTAGCACAACACAATACTCTCAGCACAGAACTAGCACAACACAATACTCTCAGCACAGAACTAGCACACACAATACTCTCAGCACAGAACTAGCACACATAATACTCTCAGCACAGAACTAGCACAACACAATACTCTCAGCACAGAACTAGCACACGCAATACTCTCAGCACAGAACTAGCACAACACAATACTCTCAGCACAGAACTAGCACAACACAATACTCTCAGCACAGAACTAGCAACACACAATACTCTCAGCACAGAAACTAGCACAACACAATACTTCAGCACAGAACTAGCACAACACAATACCTCAGCACAGAACTAGCACAACACAATACTCTCAGCACAGAACTAGCACAACACAATACTCTCAGCACAGAACTAGCACAAAAACAATACTCTCAGCACAGAACTAGCACACACAATACTCTCAGCACAGAACTAGCACAACACAATACTCTCAGCACAGAACTAGCACACACAATACTCTCAGCACAGAACTAGCACAACACAATACTCTCAGCACAGAACTAGCACAACACAAATACTCTCAGCACAGAACTAGCACAACACAATACTCTCAGCACAGAACTAGCACAACACAATACTCTCAGCACAGAACTAGCACACACAATACTCTCAGCACAGAACTAGCCACAACACAATACTCTCAGCACAGAACTAGCACACCACAATACTATCAGCACAGAACTAGCACAACACAATACTCTCAGCACAGAACTAGCACAACACAATACTCTCAGCACAGAACTAGCACAACACAATACTCTCAGCACAGAACTAGCACAACACAATACTCTCAGCACAGAACTAGCACACACAATACTCTCAGCACAGAACTAGCACAACACAATACTCTCAGCACAGAACTAGCACAACACAATACTCTCAGCACAGAACTAGCACACACAATACTCTCAGCACAGAACTAGCACACAACAATACTCTCAGCACAGAACTAGCACAACACAATACTCTCAGCACAGAACTAGCACACACAACAATACTCTCAGCACAGAACTAGCACACACAATACTCTCAGCACAGAACTAGCACAACACAATACTCTCACAGCACCTAGACAAACTAGCACAACACAATACTCTCAGCACAGAACTAGCACACACACAATACTCTCAGCACAGAACTAGCACACACAACAATACTCTCAGCACAGAACTAGCACACACAACAATACTCTCAGCACAGAACTAGCACACACAATACTCTCAGCACAGAACTAGCACACACAATACTCTCAGCACAGAACTAGCACACACAACAATACTCTCAGCACAGAACTAGCACACACAACAATACTCTCAGCACAGAACTAGCACACACAATACTCTCAGCACAGAACTAGCACAACACAATACTCTCAGCACAGAACTAGCACAACACAATACTCTCAGCACAGAACTAGCACAACACAATACTCTCAGCACAGAATTAGCACACACAATACTCTCAGCACAGAACTAGCACACACAACAATACTCTCAGCACCAAGTTAAAATAACCAACATCAAAATCATCTACAAATTACATATACAAAACAATAGAAAACTTACTGTAAGTTCTATCTGTATTAACTTCTTCACTGGCTGGAAGGGTTGATGTCACCGACTTATCACAGGCAACACTGGAGGTGTTGCATATACTTGTGTTTCTCATAGTGTGGCCTGTGTGTGTTTCCCTAGGTGGAAGATGTGCGTCGGCAGAGTACACTCCATCAGTTTTACAAATTCCTGGAATTTGCAAAAGAGAAGGAATGGGTGCGATTTCTAACTGAGCGGATGACTCTGATACTCTGGGAAGCTCTTCAATTCTTCCAGAGTTTTTCTTTGATAAAAATGATATAGATTTGTCCGAAGGGTTGCTGTGATCTTCTTCTGTTAACTTGTTGACGAGGAAAGAAGTTTCTGCTGATGGTAACTCCTTATGATCCACCATTGTCTTACTTGACGACAGTTGGTCATTCAACAATATATTTGTCCTGGGATCATAAAGTTCAAACTCTGAACTGTCAGCTCCTTGAGGACACATTAACAGCAGCGCTGATGAGTCAACTAGGGATAACATCTTACTTCTTGCCATTTCATCTTCCTCTGATATTCCATGCACTTTCACCTTGATGCAAAAACATGGCAGCTGCATTAGGGAGGCAGTAAATTCACAAATATTGGCCTGAGGGACAATTTCAAAGTTGCCAAAATCAACCATGTATAAGTGGACAAAATTGGCATCAACCTTCTTGACCTGGGCACGATACCACGTTCCGTCGCTCACTACAAAGCCACACACCATCTCCCCAGCTTGAACATCACGCACTCTGCATCCTTAAAAAACAAAAATACATTTCTTACATAATACACGAGTGACATTATCACATTTTCATTGCAAATTTGCATTAAATCTTCCAATCAACATTTTCTAATGCCTTGCTACTTATAACTCAACTTCTGTAAAGAAAAATTCCCACTTAAAACAAGATTTTTGAAAAAAAAAAAAAAGTTTACATTTGTATACTAATTTTCTTTAAAAATATAAGCAGTAATCAAGTGCTTGAGAAAGAGGTTACATGCAGCGGACTTAGTCCGTTGCACTGAACATTTCTGTTATACAGTGGACCCCCGCATAACGATTACCTCCGAATGCGACCAATTATGTAAGTGTATTTATGTAAGTGCGTTTGTACGTGTATGTTTGGGGGTCTGAAATGGACTAATCTACTTCACAATATTCCTTATGAGAATAAATTCGGTCAGTACTGGCACCTGAACATACTTCTGGAATGAAAAAATATCGTTAACCGGGAGTCCACTGTACTGAGGTTTTACAACTAACACGTTTACCAAGAAGGTACACGAGTATTATAAGGATGGGTAAACACACTGTTTACTTTCCACATGGAAGTGCCTATAATGATGCTCGCTCCTTATAAATACAATTCTTAAATAGTGTGTTGGCATTAGTACGAGTCTGCCTGAAACGCACAGCTTGTCAGTGACTCTTATTACATGTAAACATGTGTGTTTAAAGGTAGAAAGTTGAAAGTGAACATAGAAAAGAGTAAGGTAATGAGGGTATCAAATGATTTAGATAAAGAAAAATTGGATATCAAATTGGGAAGGAGGAGTATGGAAGAAGTGAATGTTTTCAGATACTTGGGAGTTGACGTGTCAGTGGATGGATTTATGAAGAATGAGGTTAATCATAGAATTGATGAGGGAAAAAAGGTGAGTGGTGTGTTGAGGTATATGTGGAGACAAAAAATATTATCTATGGAGGCAAAGAAGGGAATGTATGAAAGTATAGTAGTACCAGCACACTTTTATGGGTGTGAAGCTTGGGTTGTGAATGCTGCAGTGAGGAGGTGGTTGGAGGCAGTGGAGATGTCCTGTTTAAGGGCAATGTGTGGTGTAAATATTATGCAGAAAATTCGGAGTGTGGAAATTAGGAGAAGGTGTGGAGTTAATAAAAGTATAAGTCAAAGGGGTTGTTGAGGTGGATTGGTCATTTAGAGAGAATGGATCAAAGTAGAATGACATGAAGAGCATTTAAATCGGTAGGAGAAGGAAGACGGGGTAGGGGTCGTCCTCGAAAAAGTTGGAAGGAAGGGGTAAGGGAGGTTTTATGGGCGAGGGGCTGGGACTTCCAGCAGGCATGCATGAGCGTGTTCGATAGGAGGTGAATGGAGACAAATGGTATTTGGGACCTGACGATCTGTTGGAGTGTGAGCAGGGTAATATTTAGTGAAGGGATTCAGGGAAACAATTATTTTTATATAGCCGGACTTGAGTCCTGGAAATGGGAAGTAAAATGCCTGCACTTTAAAGGAGGGGTTTGGGATATTGGCAGTTTGGAGGGATATGTTGTGTATCTTTATACGTATATGCTTCTAAACTGTTGTGTTCTGAGCACCTCTGCAAAAACAGTGATCATGTGTGAGTGTGGTGAAAGTGTTGAATGATGATGAAAGTATTTTCTTTTTGAGGATTTTTTTTTTTTTTTTGGGTCACCCTGCCTCGGTGGGAGACGACCGACTTGTTGAAAAAAAAAAAAAAAAATTGTATATTGCAGAAAGGAATCAAGTTTGTCTCTCTAATCAGAATTGTGTTAAAATAGCAAAAAAATGACACTGAAGTACTTTATGCCTAAAAAGTACTCTAAAATAGTACTCTACACTTAATTTATTGTTATACTACAATAAAATTAAAGAAATTAAGAAATTAAAATTACAATTTACTCTGAAGATTTTATCCATTATAACAAGGGTTTACTATACGTACTATTTTTTCTCTTCGAAAAATACAGTAAATATAGAAATAACTGATAAACTGTGAACCACAAGAAAATGAAGAAGGAATACCAAGGAAGTGAGGGGAAACATGGTCAAACCCAATTACCTATACAGCAAGTCCTTGACTTACAAACATGTTGAGGACCTGAATTGTGTGTAATAAAATAATAATGATATACACAAAAATAATATAAGAATATAATACAATACAGAAAATTCTTTATTTTATTCATGAGGAAGACCTATAACCATAGGGGTTACATGATGCCTGGAGAAACTGGGGCACCACTTCAGATTTGGGCCTTGGACCCTGAAGGGGTTAAAAAAAAATGCCTGCAACTAGTGGTGATGTGAGTGAATTTAAGGCCAGCAAAGGTTGGTTTGAGAGATTTAAGAATCATAGTGGCATACAGTGTGATAAGGCATGGTGAGGCTGCCAGTTCGGACAAAAATGTGGCTGAAAAATATGTGCAGGAATTCCAGGAGTAAATATAGGCTGAAGGATTGCAACCCCAACAAGTGTTTAATTGTGACAAACATTGGAAGAAAATGCCAAATGTGACCTACATTACACAGGAGGAAAAATCACTGCCAGGACACAAGCTTATGAAAGACAGGCTAACCTTAATGTTGTGCAGTAATACTAGTGGGGATTGCAGAGCGAAGCCTCTACCCGTCTATCACTCTGAAACTCCCAGTGTGTTCAGGCAAAACAATGTCGTCAAGGCTAATTTGTGTGTGCTGTGGAGGGCAAACAGTAAGGCATGGGTCACTAGGGACTTATACAGTGGACCCCCGGTTAACGATTTTAATCCGTGCAAGAGGGGTAATCGTTATGCGAAATAATCGTTATGTGAATGAATTTTCCCCATAAGAAATAATGGAAATAAAATTAATCCGTGCAAGACACCCAAAAGTATGAAAAAAAAATTTTTTTACCACATGAAATGTTAATTTTAATACACACAAACTGAAAAAGGCATGCACACTTACATGACACTTACTTTTATTGAAGATCTGGTGATGATTGATGGGATGGGAGGAGGGGAGAGCATTATCTTCTTACTGTTTAGAAAGGGGAATCCCTTCCATTAGGACTGAGGTAGCAAGTCCTTTTCCGGGGTTACTTCCCTTCTTCTTTAATGCCACTAGGACCAGCTTGAGAGTCACTGGACTCTGTCGCACAACAAATCTGTCCATAGAGCTCTGTACCTCCCGTTCCTTTACGATTTGTCTAAAATGGGCCACAACATTGTCATTGAAATAGTCACAGCACGGCTTGCAACAGCTGTGTCAGGGTGATTTTCATCCATAAAGGTTTGCAGTTCAAACCCCCTGTGCACACATTTCCTTAAATTTTTGAAGTAGGCACAATGGATCCACAACTGGCATAGGTTCTCAGGGTTAGCCCCAAACCCTTCAAAATCTTTCTTAATTTCCATACTAATTCTCACCCTTTTACCACAGGGTTGGCACTAGAAGCTTCTTGGGGCCCATGGTCACTTATTTTTCCGAAACAGCACCGAAAACACTGTAATAATACGAAATATTCCGATTGTATGCTTGGATGTTATTGCGGAGGCTGGCTGGTAAACAATGCCACCGGCGGAACATGTGAGCGTGGCTCAGGCCGCACATTGGAAGCGTCTCGGACGAAAATCGGTAAGCGGGTTTTTAAGCGGTATGCGAGGCAAAATTTTTGCAATTAAAGTAAGCGGTATGCGAAATAATCGCTATGTGATGCCATCGTTATGCGGGGGTCCACTGTACTATGACTGGTTACACCACGCATATGCCCCCACTGTGAAAAATTACCTAATGGAAAAGAAATTGGACCTTAAGTGCCTCCTGGTATTAGACAATGCTCCTGGTCATCCTTCAGACTTGGCAGAGCGACTTTTTGGGGACATGAGCTTCATTAAGGTCAAGTTTTTGCATCCTAATACCACTCCTCTCCTGCAGCCCATGGACCAGCAGGTCATTTCAAACTTCAAAAAACTCTACACAAAAGCTATGTTTCAAAAGTGCTTTGAAGTGACCTCAGACACTGAATTGACCCTAAGAGAGTTTTGGTAAGTTCACTTTAGTATCCTCAATTGCATAAACCTTATAGGTAAGGCTTGGGAGGGAGTGACTAAGAGGACCTTATTACAACCCAGGAGTCCAAATGGCCTGTTATCCTGGGTGTAAAGGGAGCAAAATAAACACAGCAGAAAATTTTTGACTTATATTATCCTTCACCAATTTAGAACAGCAGTATGTACACTATGTACAGTGATAGGTATTAGTGCACTCCACGTTAAGCAAGGCAGAATAGAAGCCACTAGAGAGCAGACCGTGCTTCAACCAGCTCTAGAATGGGGATGACAAGGGCAGACAGGAGAGTGGTACCCACATAACCTCTGCGATTGCCAAAACCATCTTCTTATTGGCTGGAACCTAGGTATTAGTTGAACGACGGGGCCCCATCGTCAACTCTCAGTCACCTGGTTCGCTGGTTGGGGGAGATAGCCTGTAAATGAGGGTGTGTACATGCGCCGAATAAAGATTACGTACTCTTTGCATGCCACAGACCTTGAACTCTGCTTCGAGGAAATTGTGGCCAGAATGTGTACAAGAGAGGGATTTTTAAGGGTTTGGGGCTAACCCTCAGGAGCCTATGCCAGTTGTGGAATCTATTGTGGCACTGCGGAAGTCCATGGGGTTGGAGGTTAGTGGGAAGGATATGGAAGAGTTGGTGGAGGACGACGATGAAGAACTAACCACTGATGAGCTGCAAGAGCATCTGTAACAGTAAGAGGCCACAACTAAGGAAATTGCTTCAGAGGAGGGGAGAGAGAAATTGAGGAAGTTGCCTTTTTCAACGATTAAGGAAATGTGTACAATGTGGACAAAGGTTCAAACCTTTATGGAGGAAAATCACCCTGACACAGCTATTGCAAGCCGTGCTGGTGACTTTTACAATGACAATGTTGTGGCCCACTTTAGGAAAATCTTAAAGGAATGCGAGGTACAGAGCTCTATGGACAGATTTTTGGTGCGACAGAGGTCCAGTGACTCTCAAGTTGTTCCCAGTGGCATTAAAAAACAAAGAAAGGAAGTAACCCAAGAAAAGGACTTACTACCTAGTCCTTATGGAAGGGTATTCCCCTTCCAAAAATTAACACACCTCCATCATCTCCTCTCCTCCCAGTGGCATTAAAAAACAAAGAAAGGAAGTAACCCAAGAAAAGGACTTACTACCTAGTCCTTATGGAAGGGTATTCCCCTTCCAAAAATTAACACTCCTCCATCATCTCCTCTCCTCCCATCTCATCAATACATCAATAAAGGTGTTATTTATTCTTCATTCAGTACAGTACATTATTTATTGTGCATGTATTGTTCTTTTTCTGTGTAGGAAAATGTATATTTCATGTAAAATTTTTTTTTTTCATACTTTTGGGCGTCTGGAACGGATTAATTGGATTTCCATTATTTCTTATGGGGAAAATTAATGCGACTAACGATAAATTCGTCTAATGATAATCTCTCTGGAACGGATTAATATTACTGGTCGAGGGTCCACTGTATTAATATTACTGGTCGAGGGTCCACTGTATTAATATTACTGGTCGAGGGTCCACTGTATTAATATTACTGGTCGAGGGTCCACTGTATTAATATTACTGGTCGAGGGTCCACTGATTATTAATATTACTGGTCGAGGGTCCACGGTATTAATATTACTGGTCGAGGGTCCACTGTATTAATATTACTGGTCGAGGGTCCACTGTATTAATATTACTGGTCGAGGGTCCACTGTATTAATATTACTGGTCGAGGGTCCACTGTATTAATATTATGGTCGAGGGTCCACTGTATTAATATTACTGGTCGAGGGTCCACTGTATTAATATTACTGGTCGGGGGTCCACTGTATTAATATTACTGGTCGAGGGTCCACTGTATTAATATTACTGGTCGAGGGTCCACTGTATTAATATTACTGGTCGAGGGTCCACTGTATTAGTTTGCCTGAAATACACTGCATATCAGTGGCCTTTTGTTTTATTACATCTAAACTACATTATTTTTGTACTGCATAAAAACAATTCACTTTGAATTTGAATGTGTATAAATCCAATCATTTCGTGCATTCCGTACACAGCCCCAAGCTTTATGCATCTGCTCTTACCTCTTGCACAATGTTCCACTAGACTTTGCTTCAACTTCTGATACTCAAGAGTAGACTTCTTAGACACTAGATGAACACACAGTTTGTTGTGCTCATCAACCCACACAGGCACCACTATATACTCTCTTTTATTTTCCAGCACAGTCTCTCTGAGGTCTACAGCCCAGAACCTTTCTCTAGTGTCAGCATCAACCATACTCTGCAATGATGAAGCCACGGGTGTTCTTGTAACTTCAGAGTACCTATGGGAATTTTTACGTCTATCTACTTTGCTGGATTCGGTAGCTTCATCGATGCGCTGATAACGTGAGGCTTTCTGTCGATGAGAAAAATCTTCAGGTTTCTCCTCAAAGTTTCTCTTACATATATCAACATCAGTAAGTATGCTCTTATCTTGTGAGAAGAGAGATTCTGAAGGATCAAGCTTTGAGCCGAGGCTTGAAAGACGGCCCGAAGTTGGACATGATGGTGTACCCTTAACATCGTGTAACAAAGGTATAGAGGTGTACCATGGTCTCAGGATATAGTCAGCCACCACAATAAATGAATCACTACTTAACAGAGAAACTTTTAAAGACTTGGACTTCTTGCTTATAACCTTCAAGACAATTTTCTCTTCTAGTGTGATCATTTTTTGTAATTGCATCTTAATTTCTGGCTCTACTTCACAGTGAATCTTAGCTAATATAGCAAAGCCTGGCAACTCAGACAATGGTCCAATGGGGAGTGGTTTAACCATTTTAACTGTCTCCATGTTACCCAAATCGATGAAAATTACGTGATAGTTCTCTCCCTCTATTTTATAAATGAACGCGCGATTCCAAGAGTTGTCGGATAAAGAAGTTGCAGCCACTTGGCATCCCACCCTTGGTTTAAATTTTTCATCAAAGGGAGCACTGACTAATAACTCCTGTGCTTCAGGATAAAATGCTCTAGCACGAGTGTCATTAACAACAAGTGTAAAGTACTTGTAGCTCTCAACCCGCGTGATGAAGCCTTCGTATATTTGACTAAGCTTTAATTCATCCAAGACACAATGCATATTTAGTAGGGATTCCCTCAATTCAGGAGAGACTGAACCTTCTACAACAGGTGAAGAGATGTGTGCTGATGCACTGCTGAAAAAGTTATTAAACTCTTCTAGCTTTTGTGTACTGCAACCAGACTGTAACTGATTACTTTCATTAGAATTACTACAGCTGTTCGATGTAACACATGCAGCAATTCCTTTTTCAATAATACCAGTGTTTATTTTCTGGGAGACTGCCAGTGTTTCAGTAGATTCCTTATCAGTATTACTGGTGATTTGTTTCACTGAACTTGCACTTTCACAATAGGGGCGTCGGAGAGGCCTGGAAGGTTGTATTCGATTACAAGTCCTGGGGAATTTGATAGTTGTACTGGAAGGCCTTGGTTCTCTTTCTGTACTAGTAAGCTTCTGTTGCTTCCCTGTACTGGTAGGCTCCTGTTCTCTTTCTGTACTAGTAGGCTTCTGTTGCTTCCCTGTACTGGTAAGCTCCTGTTCTCTTTCTGTACTAGTAGGCTTCTGTTGCTTCCCTGTACTGGTAGGTGCCTGTTCTCTTTCTGTACTAGTAGGCTTCTGTTCCTTCTCTGTACTGGTAGGCTTCAGTCTCCTCTCTGTTTCAGAGACAGGCACATTACTTCCTTGTGACAGGAGAATATTTTGAAGTGTTTTCAATGTTTGCTGAATATTTGGGCATCCAATGGCCCTTTTTTGAAGGGAATCTGACTCCATGTCCCTTTCAAAATTGACATTAGTAGACAAACAATATTGGTCACTACGATGCTTATCCTCAAGAGATTCACCCGTCTCAATTTGCTGTTTTTCTTCCCTATTTTCATTATGAATCATTTTTCTCAACTGCTGCATAAGAGATAATAAATCAGTAGTTTCACGTGCGACTAGAGACGCGTGCGTCTGGTTTGAGATGCTGGAGGAAGACGACTGTACTTGTAGGCGATGGTCCCTGTTATCATCCCTCGAGATATTCGGAGAGCTGGACGGTCCTGCTTCCAATAACCTGAAAAAAAAAAGAAAAAATACACTAGGAAGTCTCTCACAGATTAAAATTTTTTTAACACACTGGTCATCTCCTACCAAGACAGGGTGACCCAAAAAAAGAAGAAGCATTTTTACCATCACTCAATCTGATGCCTTCAATGAGTTCTAAGAATTTTTCTACTCTCAGAGCCTGGCCATGGGTCAGGCTCATCTGGTGTTTGCCTGGTCAATCAGACTGTTGCTGCTAGTGGTCTGCTACCCCACATATCCATCACAGCCTGACTGACTGTCTTGCCAAAAAAGTGCTAACACTACAGTTGTGGTTGTTGTTGTTGTTGTTGTTGGGGTTTATAGGGCCACTGACAGCATATGCCGTACTGAGCCCTAAGTAAGTTTATTCAGGTATACACAAATACAGTTACAGCGTACCCCAGGTTTTCGTAATTAATCCGTTCCAGAGAGAGTGACTAAACCCAAATCTGACGAATTCTGAATTAATTTTCCCCATATAAAATAATGAAAATCCAATTAATCCGTTCCAGACACCCAAAAGTATTAAAATGTTTTTTTTTCCATGAAATTTACATTTCCCTACACAGAAAACAATGAGACATGCAGAGTAAAACAATACTAAAATGACACCTTTATTGAAGACTTATTGATGAGATGGGAGAGGATGGAGGTGTACTATTGCTTAGAAGGGGAATCCCATTCCATAAAGACTTCAGATACCAAGTCCTTTTCTGAAGTTACTACCCTCCTTTGTTTTTTAATGCCATTAGAACCAGCTTGAGAGTCAATGGATCCCTGTCGCTCAAAAAAGTGTTCCAGAGAGGTCTGTATCTGGCGTTTCTTTAAAACTTTCCTAAAATGGGACACAACATTGTCATTGTACATGTCACCAACATGGCCTGCAACAGATCTGTCAGGGTGATGTTCATCCATAAATGTTTGCACCTTTGTCCACTTGTACAAATGTCCTTAATCTTTGAAGAAGGCAACTTCCTCCTCCTCTGAAGCAATTTCCTCAGCTGAAGTCTGTTAGTGCTGCAGATGAAGGTCTTGCAGCTCTGTAGTGGTTAGCTCTTCATCATGGTCCTGCACCAACTCTTCCACATCCTCCAAACTCATCCAACCCCATGGACTTCCCCAATGCCACAACAGATTCCACAATTGGCATAGGCTCCTCAGGGTCAGCCCCAAACCTTTCAAAAACCCTCTCTGGTACACACTGTGGCCACAATTTTCTCCAAGCAGAGTTCTAAGTCCTGGAAGTCACTCCCTGCCAAGCCTTACCTATAAGACTTATGCAACTGAGGATACTGAAATGATAAATCCAGAACCCTCTTAGGGTCAATTCAGTGTCTGAGGTCACTTCAAAGCACTTTGCAAACACTGCTTTTGTGAACAGTTTTTTGACATTTGAAATAATCTGCTGGTCCATGGGCTGGAGGAGAGGAGTTGTATTAGGGGGCAAGAACTTCACTTTGATGAAACGAAACTCCTGCACCATTTGCTCTTTCAAGTCTGGAGGATGAGCAGGAGCATTGTCCATTACCAGGAGGGACTTGATTTCCAATTTATTTTCCAGGAGGTATTTCTTCACACTGGGGCCAAACACGTCATAAAACCAATCAAGGAAAATGTTCCTAGTGACCCATACCTTACTGGTTGCCTGCCACATCACACACAATTTACTCTTGGCAACACTGTTTTTCTTCAACACTCTGGGATTTTCAGAGTAAAGCTTCACTTTGCAATCCCCACTAGCATTACTACAAAATATGAGAGTAAGCCTATCCTTCATAGGCTTGTGTCCTGGGAGTGCCTTTTCCTCCTGAGTAATGTAGGTTCTCTTTGGCCTTTTCTTCCAAAAGAGGCCTGGTTTGTCACAACTGAACACTTGTTGGGGTTTTAATTTTTCAGCCTCTATGTACCCCTTGAAGTCCTGAACATATGTTTCAGCCACTTTTTTGTCAGAACTGGCAGCCTCACCATGCCTTATCGCACTCTGTATACCACTACGATTCTTAAATCTGTCAAACCAGCCTTTGCAGGCCTTAAATTCACCAATATGAGCACTAGTTCCAGGCATTTTCTTTACGAAATCATCTAATATGACATAATAAACAATATTAATACCATAGTTGCCTTGCCTTTTCACATATTATTGACTGCATAATGCTATCTCCTGATAATTGTTTCTCATTGATCCACACCAACAACAAAGTCTCCAAATCTTTCAGTATTTGCAATCTCTGTTTTGTAAGCATATTTGCACCTTTCGCAACAACAGCTTCCTTGATTGCCTTTCTCTTGGCCACGATAGTAGCGATGGTTGTATGGGGTTTGTTATATAACCTGGTCAGCTCAGAGACATGCACTCCACTTTCATGTTTTGCAATGATGTTTTGAATTCTATAGTGTTTCTCACCCTCTTCACCAAAGGGTTGGCACTCGAAGCTTTCTTTGGACCCATGGTGGCTTATTTAGCAGTTTTTTTTTTTTATTATCACACTGGCCGATTCCCACCAAGGCAGGGTGGCCCGAAAAAGAAAAACTTTCATCATCATTCACTCCATCACTGTCTTGCCAGAAGGGTGCTTTACACTACAGTTTTTAAACTGCAACATTAACACCCCTCCTTCAGAGTGCAGGCACTGTACTTCCCATCTCCAGGACTCAAGTCCGGCCTGCCGGTTTCCCTGAACCCCTTCATAAATGTTACTTTGCTCACATTCCAACAGCACGTCAAGTATTAAAAACCATTTGTCTCCATTCACTCCTATCAAACACGCTCACGCATGCCCGCTGGAAGTTCAAGCCCATCGCACACAAAACCTCCTTTACCCCCTCCCTCCAACCTTTCCGAGGCTGACCCCTACCCCGCCTTCCTTCCACTACAGACTGATACACTCTTGAAGTCATTCTGTTTCGCTCCATTCTCTCTACATGTCCGAACCACCTCAAGAACCCTTCCTCAGCCCTCTGGACAACAGTTTTGGTAATCCCGCACCTCCTCCTAGCTTCCAAACTACAAATTCTCTGCATTATATTCACACCACACATTGCCCTCAGACATGACATCTCCACTGCCTACAGCCTTCTCCTCACTGCAACATTCATCACCCATGCTTCACACCCATATAAGAGCGTTGGTAAAACTATACTCTCATACATTCCCCTCTTTGCCTCCAAGGACAAAGTTCTTTGTCTCCACAGACTCCTAAGTGCACCGCTCACCCTATTCCCCTCATCAATTCTATGATTCACCTCATCCTTCATAGACCCATCCACTGACATGTCCACTCCCAAATATCTGAATACATTCACCTCCTCCACACTCTCTCCCTCCAATCTGATATCCAATCTTTCATCACCTAATTTTTATGTTATCCTCATAACCTTACTCTTTCCTGTATTCACTTTCAATTTTCTTCTTTTACATACCCTACCAAATTCATCTACCAACCTCTGCAACTTCTCTTCAGAATCTCCCAAGAGCACAGTGTCATCAGCAAAGAGCAACTGTGACAACTCCCACTTTATGTGTGATTCTTTATCTTTTAACTCCACGCCTCTTGTCAAGACCCTCGCATTTACTTCTCTTACAACCCCATCTATAAATATATTAAACAACCACGGTGACATCACACATCCTTGTCTAAGGCCTACTTTTACTGGGAAATAATCTCCCTCTTTCCTACATACTCTAACTTGAGCCTCACTATCCTCGTAAAAAAAACTCTTCACTGCTTCAGTAACCTACCTCCTACACCATACACCTGCAACATCTGCCACATTGCCCCCCTATCCACCCTGTCATACGCCTTTTCCAAATCCATAAAACCTCTTTAGCCTTATCTAAATACTGTTCACTTATATGTTTCACTGTAAACACCTGGTCCACACACCCCCTACCTTTCCTAAAGCCTCCTTGTTCATCTGCTACCCTATTCTCCGTCTTACTCTTAATTCTTTCAATAATAACTCTACCATACACTTTACCAGGTATACTCAACAGACATATCCCCCTATAATTTTTGCACTCTCTTTTGTCCCCTTTGCCTTTATACAAAGAACTATGCATGCTCTCTGCCAATCCATAGGTACCTTACCCTCTTCCATACATTTATTAAATAATTGCACCAACCACTCCAAAACTATATCCCGTTACAAGCGCTAAAAAGAATGGAATAATACAAAATGTATCGTATGAATGCGTGGGGTCGTCCTCACTGGCTGGTAAACAATGGCACACTGGCTGTACATGGAGTGTTGGGGCTGCTCAGGCCATGCGGACACATTCTGGACAAATGACTTATACTGAGTTCAGTGACGTTAACCAAGCCAATATTTTGATGCAAAAACATTACTTACTCCGAATATGACTTATTCTGATGACGACTTAATCTGGGGGTCCACTGTATATGAAACTCCTTGAAGAATCATGAAAGACTGAGTGTCACTCCACTGCTGCACTGTCAGCGGTGGAGTGACACTTGATCATTCACTGCCTTGGCTTTATTTATTTTCACTGTTACACACAAACATGTGTCTGTCTACCTCAATAATAATAATAATAATAATGGAGGCAGCGGAGATGTCCTGTTTAAGGGCAATGTGTGGTGTAAATATTATGCAGAAAATTCGGAGTGTGGAAATTAGGAGAAGGTGTGGAGTTAATAAAAGTATTAGTCAGAGGGCAGAAGAGGGGTTGTTGAGGTGGTTTGGTCATTTAGAGAGAATGGATCACAGTAGAATGACATGGAAAGCATATAAATCTATAGGGGAAGGAAGGCGGGGTGGGGGTCGTCCTCGAAAGGGTTGGAGAGAGGGGGTAAAGGAGGTTTTGTGGGTAAGGGGCTTGGACTTCCAGCAAGCGTGCGTGAGCGTGTTAGATAGGAGTGAATGGAGACGAATGGTACTTGGGACCTGACGATCTGTTGGAGTGTGAGCAGGGTAATATTTAGTGAAGGGATTCAGGGAAACCGGTTATTTTCATATAGTCGGACTTGAGTCCTGGAAATGGGAAGTTACAATGCCTGCACTTTAAAGGAGGGGTTTGGATATTGGCAGTTTGGAGGGATATGTTGTGTATCTTTATATGTTTATGCTTCTAGACTGTTGTATTCTGAGCACCTCTGCAAAAACAGTGATAATGTGCGAGTGTGGTGAAAGTGTTGAATGATGATGAAAGTATTTTCTTTTTGGGGATTTTCTTTCTTTTTTGGGTCACCCTGCCTCGGTGGGAGACGGCCGACTTGTTGAAAAAAAAAAAAAAAAAAAAAAAAAATAATAATAATAATAATAATAATAATAATTTATTTTAGCATGATACATGTTTGTACAAGTGTGATAATTGGGTGAACATGCCAAAAACCCCTTTATATGCAGAGCATTTCGGGCAAACTTAAGACTAACTTACATTAATAAGGCAATAACAGTGTTGCCATTGTAAATATGGTTATTAGGAGTTACAATGAATATAAGAAAGTTGTTTGTCTCTGTTTATCTGCTTATCTGTCTTTCTGTCTGCCTGTGTGTCTGTATTCCTGTTTCTCTGTTTGCATCTCTCTCTTTCTGTCTGAGAAAGAGAGCCGCTCATGAACCAACAGGTATTACACACGATGCAGATTATTCACTTCTGATTCCTGAATAAGTGAAAATGCCATTAATGCTTATTATGTCTTATATCTACAAGCACAGGACAGCACTTCGTCTGGATTTTTTTAGGGTTATCCTAGGTAATTTACACTATGTATAATTGTATTTATGTGTACCTGTGAGACAGAGATAGACAGAGACTTAGATAGATATAGTCAGACAGACAAATGGAGATAAAGGCAGCCAAAGTCAATCAGCCACCCACCCATCCACCCAGCCAGCCAACGGCCAGCCAGCCAACCAGCTTGCCAAACACGTATTACACATTCCCGAATTGTTTCTTTTTACTTAGGGCATGGGTTATAGGACATTCTGGCAGGATGACACTACCAGTGGTATCAAAATTGAAAGGATGCTTCACAAATGTTCCACATGGGTTATTATCGAGGTTTTTGATATTTCCTCGACCACTTGTGGCCACATCCAACTCACAGCCACTAAACTTTGGGTCAACATCACTTTCCTCTTGAAAGGGGAGTGTTAATACATGACATCAGTGAATCCCTGGTGTTTGCCACACTGTTTGCTCTAGCCGGTGCTCAAATGAACTGGTGCTCCCACAAGGTACCAAGTGGTCCAAGATTTTTTTAACCCTTTGACTGTTTTAGTCATATATATACGTCTTACGAGCCAGTGTTTTGGAAGCATATATGTATACTGAATAATTCTAGTGGCTTCAAATCAAGCAGGAGAAAGCTGGTAGGCCCACATTTGAGAGAATGGGTCTGTGTGGTCAATGTGCACCACATAAAAATCCTGCAGCACGCTGTGCATAATGAGAAAAAAACAACAACGCTTTTTTTGGATTAAAACGCCCACTTTGAGGCGTATTTTCGTATAGCATTTATCGTTGTATTCTCGTTTACATGGTTTCACGTGATAAAATGTAAAACATATTACAGAAATAGAGATGATTTTGATTAGATTCTCGATGAAAATGACCTTGAAATTGAGCTCAAAGTAGCGGAAATGTTTGATTTTTACCAATGTTCAGGAGTAAACAAATCACACCACACGTCCAATACATGTCAACTGGGGAGTCTAATATTCTTTCACTAGTGCACTGATATTATTTATACCATTTTTACAATAATGCAGTAGTCTGCATAACAGTAAATTTTGTATTTTTTGTATGAATAAAAAATCAAAATAGAAAGCAATAGTAATATAAGAGGGGCCTAAAGACGTGACTAATGAACAGAGGATATGTTATTTTAGTGCCAAGAATGTCTACATTGTTTATTCTGGACCCTATTTTGAAATTGGCATCTTTTTTAATTTGGGTGAAACTGGCCAAATTGCCAATTTCTGACCACTTTATTGGGTAGTTCAAATTGGTAAATGGGCGGTTTCTTGTACTCAACTGATAGAAAAAATGGAGTTCTAAAGAAATAGCTATGAGTCTGGTCAACTGGCACAATGGAATTGGCCAAAAACAGGGCTCAAAGTCAGCAAAATCGCCAATGTGTATATGTCGCTGAGACTGCTAACTTTGCGGGAGCGCAATTCCGTGAGTTTTCGACCAAATTTCGTACTTTTGGTGTCATTACCATCGGGAAAAGATTCTCTATCATTTCATAAGAAAATATAATTTTTTTTTTCCAAAAATTTTGCGACACAAAATGACAGTTTCAGAAAGGGGCTTGCGACAGTCAGGGTTGAGAGGCCCTCTCCTAAACTCATTCTCAGGGTAGAAAAAAAAAAAAAAAAAAAAATCTTATGAAATGATAGAGAATCTTTTGCCGGTCATAATGACACCAAAAGTATGAAGTCTGATGGAAAACTTACGGAATTATGCTCTCGCGAATTTAGCGGTCTCGACGATGTTTATGCATCAGCGATTTTGCCCACTTTGAGCCCTATTTTTGGCCAATTCCAGTGTACTAGTCGACTAAAATCATATCTATTTTGCTAGATCTCCATTTGTTCTATCGAATGACTACAAGAAACCACCCATTTACCTATTTCAACTATCCAATAAAGTGGTTAGAAATTGACAATTTTGCCAATTTCACACAAATTTCATAAGATGCCAATTTCCAAATAGGGTCCTGAACAAACAAGAAAGACATTCCTGGCACTAAAATAACATTTTCTCTGTTCATTAGTCACGTCCCCAGGCCCCTCTTACATCTCTTTTGCTTTCCACTTTGAATTTTTATTCTCACAAAAAATAGAAGATTTACTGTTATGCAGACTACTACATTAGTGTAGAAATGGTATAAATAATATCAGCGCACTTGTGAAAGAATATTAGACTCACCAGTTGACGTGTATTGGACACTTGGCATGATTTATTTACTTTTGAACTTTGGTTAAAATTAAACATTTCTGCTACTTTGAGCTCAATTTCAAGGTACTTTTCATAGTAAAACCAATCAAAATCATCTCAATTTCCGTAATATGTCTTCCATTCTATAAAATGAGACCAGGAAAACTAGAATACAACCATAAATACCATACAAAAACACAGTGCAAACTTGCGGTTTTAAACCAAAAACATGGTCGGAATTTTTTTTTCTCATTACGCACTGTGTGCTGCAGGATTTTTTTTTATACTGCGGACACTGACCACATAGACCCATTCTTTCATATGTAGGCCTACCAGCTTTCTCTTGCTAGATTTGAAGGTGCTAGAATTTAAGCGTGCTAGTATATCAATAACCCTGGTGCTTAAGCCGTACTAATACATCGGAAACTCTGAAAGGGTTAATAAAACTAGAAATACAGGTCTCACTCAACATTCGCGAGGGTTACGGGGATCAAGATCCTCACAAATATTGAAAAATCGTAATTTTGTTTTTTGTTTTTAACAAGTCGGCCGTCTCAAAAAGAAAGAAAATCCCCAAAAAGAAAATACTTTCATCATCATTCAACACTTTCACCTCACTCACACATAATTACTGTTTTTGCAGAGGTGCTCAGAACACAACATTTTAGAAGCATATACATATAAATGTACACAACATATCCCTCCAAACTGTCAATATCCCGAAACCCCTCCTTTAGAGTGCAGGCATTGTACTTCCCATTTCCAGGACTCAAGTCCGGCTATATAAAAATAACCGGTTTCCCTGAATCCCTTCACTAAATATTACCCTGCTCGCACTCCAACAGCTCATCAGGTCCCAAATACCATTCGTCTCCATTCACTCCTATCGAACACGCTCATGCATGCCTGCTGGATGTCCAAGCCCCTCGCCCACAAAACCTCCCTTACCCCTTCCTTCCAACCTTTTCGAGGACGACCCCTACCTCGCCTTCCTTTCCCTACAGATTTAAATGCTCTCCATGTCATTCTACTTTGATCCATTCTCTCTAAATGACCAAACCACCTCAACAACCCCTCTAATACTTTTATTAACTCCACACCTTCTCCTAATTTCCACACTCCGAATTTTCTGCATAATATTTACACCACACATTGCCCTTAGACAAGACATCTCCACTGCCTCCAACCGCCTCCTCGCTGCTGCATACACAACCCAAGCTTCACACCCATAAAAGTGTGGTGGTAGAGAAATATAATAAAATAATGCTTCCTTAATGATAAAGGCCAGTCAGCGATAGCGTAGCATTAACAGTGTAGCAAGTAAGTTAAGTGATTAATCGATAGAAAAAGGACAGCACGAACCTAACTCCTCCAATGTTGTTGGAGTTATATAGGGCGACTGACAACACCGCTGTCTCTACTGCCTCTGCTGCTGCCTTCACCACCACTATGTAAGGCTTATGCTCTCAGTGGCCCTTATGCACCCAACAACAACACAGCAACGCTTGTGATATACTTAATGACGTATTTCATTCATTCTAGAGTATGTGTCATGTTTCTATGTTATTAATATTGTTTATTATGTCATGTTAGATGAATTGTGATAGATAAGTAAGCTGTAGAGTTGATATTAGTCTCATATTGAAGGACTATCTTGTCCTATCTCCAAACAAACTCTGCCACTGCCACAATTCCTAACATATGCAATGACATGTTTTAAATGTGATTGGGCGGCTGGGAATTCGCGAATGTTTGAAGCCTGCTAAAGTGGAAACCACAAATGTTGAGGGAGACCTGTATAGTTATAAATAATGCTTACACAGAGTATATAAGAGGGCAGAAAAACCACAATAAAAGACTTACGGGGGAGGGGAGCAAGTGTTCTTGTGGTAGTACCAGTCGTTCATCTGGCACTTCTCGCTGCAATACAAAGCCTTACACACTGAACATCTGAACTTGCCCAAGGTGCCACACGACACACAGGGATATGGCTGCTCCCACAACTTGGCCGCACAAACACTGCATGTCTTCCCAACACACTGAAATCATCAAAATATATGCCTGTTAACACTTTAATTCCACACATTACACAGTTTTTAGAAAAATAGATGACATTGACTAGTACACATGGAAATTTGAAGGTTATTCAGAGTATTTCAATCAAGCAGCAACCTAACATGCAATACTATTACTACGTACTATTATGGACTTCTGTTACTACTGCCTTGCTTCATTCCACTTTCTGTCTCTTATGCCACTTCCACTACTCCCCCTACCTACTACTATTACTACTACCAAGATTACCTCCACCACTACTGTCTCCGCTTCCTTCTTTCCTCTTCTTCTCCTTGTCCTGTCTCTCCCCTCCCCTCCTATATGTACCGGCAGCTGTCTTTTGCAAGCCACCGCCACAACGTGCTTTCAATTTGTCGATGTGATTAGTTAATGGTTCAAGTCAGACCAAAATATCGTAAGCGTCTATGTGCAGGTTGTTAGGGTATACAAGTTTTATTTCTTTATGTATTACAAACAACATAGGTCACACTACACAGGTATGTATATGTACAGTGGTACCCTGAGTTTCGTACAGCTCCCAACTCAAACAATTATGTAAGTATATTTTTGTAAGTCCTAGGTAGTAGGTTGGTAGACAGCAACTGCCCAGGGAGGTACTACCGTCCTGCCAAGTGAGTGTAAAACAAAAGCCTGTAATTGTTTTACATGATGGTAGGATTGCTGGTGTCTTCTGTCTGTCTCATACACATGCAAGATTTCAGGTATGTCTTGCTACTTCTACTTACACTTAGGTCACACTACACATACATGTACAAGCATATATATACACAACCCTCTGAGTTTTCTTCTATTTTCTTTCTAGTTCTTGTTTATTTCCTCTTATCTCCATGGGGAAGTGGAACAGAATTCTTCCTCCGTAAGCCATGTGTGTTGTAAGAGGTAACCAAAATGCCAGGAGCAAGGGGCTAGTAACCCCTTCTCCTGTATATATTACTAAATGTAAAAGGAGAAGCTTTCGTGTTTTCCTTTTGGGCCACCCCACCTCGGTGGGATACGGCCGGTGTATTGAAAGAAAGAAAGAAGATTTTTGTGAGTGCTTTTGTAAGTGTATTTTTGGGGGTCTGAAATGGACTAATCTAATTTACATTATTCCTTATGGGAACAAATTCGTTCGGTAATGGCACTCGAACAGCCTTCTGGAATGAATTAAGTTCGTAACTCGAGGTACCACTATATATACACCCAAGTTTATTCTATTTTCATAATATTTCTTGTTCTTATTTCCTTTCATCTCCAACAAACAACCAATATGACAACATATGTATTTTCAAATATACAGGATCTAAAGCCATCAACACAACAAAATAGCTTTCATCAGTGGATTCATCACACAGTCAAATGCAATGTTTGTGGCTTTCACAGACACCCACAGAAAAGATCACTTTGACAACTAAATATGGATACCAAGCTACAACTTATTCACAAGCAACAGAAAGAATAGGCAACAACAGGAGTTGGACTTTATGTCACAGAGTCCATCATCTGCTCAGAATTTCTCCTCAGCCTCTGGAGTTTACCTGGAGTTTACCTGGAGAGAGTTACGGGGGTCAATGCCCCCGCGGCTCAGTCTGTGACCATGCCTCATGGTAGATCAGAGCCTGATCAACCAGGCTGTTACTGCTGGCTGCACGATATCCAACGTACAAGCCACAGCCCGGCTGGTCAGGTCCCAACTTCAGGTGCTTGTCCAGTGCCAGCTTGAAGACTGCCAGGGGTCTATTGGTAATCCCCCTTATGTATGCTGGGAGGCAGTTGAACAGTCTCGGGCCCCTGACACTTATTGTATTGTCTCTTAGCATGCTAGTGACACCCCTGCTTTTCATTGGGGGATGTTACATCGTCTGCCAAGTCTTTTGCTTTCACAGCGAGTGATTTTCGTGTGCAAGTTCGGTACTAGTCCCACTGGGATTTTCCAGTGTGGAACTCTATCAAAAGCCTTACCAAAGTCCACATACACTATCACATTCATTACCATGATCTACCCCCTCAAACACCTTAGTAAAAAAAAAGTTAGTAAATTCGTAAGACAGGAACGCCCGTTTGTAAAACCGTGCTGATATTCATTAATCAAGATAAAGAAACATTAAAGGTGCTCAAAAGGGCCAGTCTATCTGGAACACCAAACAAAGAATTGGTTAACGAAGCAGAAAATATTGAACTTGAGCTAAGGAATAATATAGGAGCCCTGGAACACACAAACTTCTTTAAGCAATAAATAAAACTGAAAGAAAGCCAAAATATTTCTTTTCTTATGCAAAACCTACGGCAAAAACCACATTCAGTATCGAACCCCTGATCAAATAAGACTTATACAACCACAAAGAAATACTGAAGTTCCAATATGACTCAGCATATAGCAAGCCATTAATCAGACTAAGAGTTGATAATATAAATGATTTTTTTTATGCTCATGACTCAAATTTTCCTAATTCCAGAATTTCTGATATAACCCAAACACTACAGAACTTCGAAAAATCAGCTTATGACATGCCCTTGCAGCCTGTCACATGCCCAGATTCTTGGAACTCCGTGTTTACCAAGAACTCCAAGAAACCCATCACATGCCTTCAGCATTTTATGGAGAGGGAGCATGGACACAGGAGTCATCCCACACTCACTAAAAAAAAAAAAAACAGCCCCACTCCACAAAGGTGGGAGTAAAGAAATTGGAAAAAATTACAATCCACTAGCACTACCATTCCACATCATAAAAATCTTTGAAAGAGTTCTAAGAAGCAAAACTTCCAATCACTTGGACTCTCAACAATTGCACAACCCAGGGCAGCACGGGTTTAGAGCAGGTCACTCCTGCCTCTCACAACTACTGGGCCACTATGACATGGTTTTGAATGCAGTTGAGGACAAACAGAATGCAGATGTAGCATACACAGACTTTGTGAAAGCTTTTGACAAGTGTGACCATGGTGTAATAGTATTTAAAATGCATGATAAAGGAATAACATGCTCCATAACCTGTACCAACAGTTTGAATTAATCTTAGTCTGCCCGAAATGCCTAGTCATGCTAGGCATGATAGTGGCCCTCTATGTAATTAATATTTTAAAATTTGTAAACCACACATTGTAACCATCATTCTATAATATGTAAACCCAGCATTGTAATATTTATGGAGAATAAACCTGATTGATTGAACATATGAAGTGGGTAGATGGATCTATAATTTCCTAACAAATTGAACATCATGAGTAATAGTAATAGTAAAAGTCGGTGAAAGCTGTCCCACAAGGTACAGTACTCGCTCCCTTCCTGTTCCTCATCCTCATGTTTGCCACAGCACCATGTCCTCCTTTGTTGATGATACCAGAATTTGCATAACAAGTGTCATCCATCAAGGACACTGCAAATCTCCACGCAGACATTAACCAAGTCTTTAAATGGCACTCAAACAATATGAAGTTCAATGAGGACAATTTCAATTAGAGTCGAACCCCAGTCTTTGAACTTAATTGGTTCCTAGGTGGTGTTTGACTTATAAAAAGTTTGATGTTTAAAATGGTATTTCCCAGGCTTTAATTATCAGTCTCACACACAGGAGGATGTTGAACTAACTCTTTCAAAAGTCTCTGAGAGTTAGGTCATTGTCAAAGGTAATCTGAAAGCACTTTTCAAACGGGACTTTTCTGTAAAGTTTTATACGACTGAATTTTAAACAAGTCAGTGCGTTCGTACTTCAGAAAAAATTCAAAGACAGTCAATATTTTCTGAACAAAATTGTTTGGATTCTACTTGAGGTCAGGTGTGTTCAAACACCAAGGTTCCACTGTACTCCATTATGGAAAACTAGGGGAAATAAAAAACTAGATCGGAATATAAAACAAATTTCAAACACACAATACATCCATATCCCACCTCATGTCAATAACTGGTTCTAAGAGCCATGACATACCCCAATTTTTGACGTAAATTGGACATGCCTAAAAAATGCCTTAACCCTTCGACTGTTTCGGTCGTATATATATGTCTTACAAGGTACCGTGTTTGACGTATATATACTTAAATTCTAGCGGCTTCAAATCAAGCAGGAGAAAGCTGGTAGGCCCACATGTGAGAGAATGGGTCTGTGTGGTCAGTGTGCACCATATAAAAAAAATCCTGGAATACGCAGTGCATAATGAGGAAAAAAAAAACGATTGTTTTTTTTAATTAAAATGCCGACTTTGTGGTCTATTTTCGTATAGTATTTATGGTTGTATTCTCGTTTTCTTGGTCTCATTTGATAGAATGGAAAACATATTATAGAAATGGAGGTGATTTTGATTAATTTTACTATAAAAAGAACCTGGAAATGGAGCACAAAGTACGGGAAATGTTTGATTTTTGCCAATGTTCAAAAGTAAACAAATGATGTCATTATCCAATAAATGTCCAACTAGCCATTCTAATATGCAGTCATGAATGGGTTGATATTATTTATACAATTATCACAGTATTGCAGTAGTCTGCATAACAGTAAATCTTCTATTTTTTGTTTGAATAAAAATTCAAAATAGAAAGCAAGAGTAATATCAGAGGGGCCTGGAGACATGACTGATGAACAAAGAAAATGTTATTTTAGAGCCAGGAATGTCTGCATTGTTCATTCTGGACCTTATTTTGAAATTATCATATTTTTTAGTTTTTGTGAAATTGGCCAAATTGCAAATTTCTGACCACATTATTGGGTAGTTGAAATTGGTAAATGGGCAGCTTCTTGTACTCAATCAATAGAAAAAATGGAGTTCTAAAGAAATAGCTATGAGTTTGGTCGACTGGAACAATGGAATTAGCCGAAAATAGGGCTCAAAGTGGGCAAAATCGCCGATTTGTAAATATCGCCAAGGTCGCTAACTTCGTGAGAGCGTAATTCCGTCAGTTTTCCATCAAATTTCATTTTTTTTTTTTGGTGTCATTACAATCGAGGAAAGATTCTCTATCATTTCATATGACAAAAAAAAAATTATTT